TATGTCCTTCCGTTCGCTCGTATGTTCACCAGCTTTAGCGTTCGCTTATCCGTCCGTCCATTACTTTATCCGTCCGTCTGTCCGTCCGGGTATCCATTCGTTTGCACAGCTATTGCTTAGTCCGCTTGCCCGTCGATCTGTCTATCCGTCTGTCCATCTGTCCGTCCGTCTGTTCTTTCGTCCGTCTGTTCTTTCGTCTATTCGTCCGGTCGGTTATTCCTTCGTCTGCCCGTTCGCCCGTTCGCCCGTCTGTTCATTCTTTTATCCGTCTGTCTTCTCGTCCATTCCTCTGTCCGTCCATATGCCTTTCCGTTCGTCCGTCCGTATGTATGCATGTTCATTCCCTTAGATCGTCTGTCCATTCCTTCATTCGCCTGTTCGTCCATTTTTAGTTCGCCCGCTCGTCCATTCGTCCATCCCCCTATCCGTCCGTCTGTCTGACCGTGCCTCCGCTCGACCTTCGTTTAAGTTGAACTTGAAATAATTTAGTAATTGAGCTAAAAGTACGAGACTTTAGCGAGTTTGCTTCGTAACAGAAGAGTGAGGTTTAAGCGAAATGAATTATTTAGTTAGGCGAATGAGCATGAAAATGAAACTCCATTTCGTGGCGATAGAGCCCATGACAGCTAATGGTAATGGAAACAGACAGCAGCAAGAGCAAACAGACACCGTCTGACAATGGGGCAGACACAAAAAGAAGAAGAACAAGACTCCCGTTGATTCCGATGAATTAAATATATCTTTATATATAGTATGTGTGTATACTATGTATATAAATACGATATATATCTGTATAGCCACCAACCAAATAGGACAGCCGATGTCAGTTCGAATGAGAAGTGGTTTTGCTTTAAGCATGAGCTGTTGAGCAGGAGACAGCCAGCAGGAGACAGCGAGCAGGAGGCATCTGCCAGCTCTAATGACAAGTTATTACTGTGTGTATTATTGATGAGGGGACGGAGCTCTTGAGCCTAATTGGAGTGCAAAATGTGTTGACGACTGACGATTGAATTCGCATCATTCACGAGTGCATTCGAATGCATTCATTGAGTGTTTGCCCGAGCATTCAGCTAAAATCTGTAACTGTGTGGAGTTAATTAATGCAATTGCCATCACAATTAAAGCCAACAACAACAAACACTGAAAACGAAACCAAAGCCAAAACTAAAACTAAAACCAAATGCAAATGCAAATTTAAATTCAAATTCAAATTCAAAACCAAATCCAACTTCAAATCCTGGCTGGGCATTTGACGAATGTGCTGAGTCAGCGGACCGTGCCGGCTGGCAATCAGGCGTGCATTATGTTGCCACGCCCACCCGTACAGCATGTCATCAGTGGGCCAAAAGGGTTTGGGACTCGGGAAGGGGCTGGGGCTGGGATGGGGCAGCTGACCCCTTTTTTGGGCTAAGTGAAATAATTTGCCAGCGTTTGCGGCATTTCATTTAAATATGTTAATCAGGGGCCAAGTAATTAAGTAAATTAAATGTGCCACGCCCCTTGGCCGACGTGCAAAACGTGCCCACACACCTCAGCAGCACCCACAGCATGTACCGTTAGCTAACGCCTTGCGCCTAGACTCGACACGACTCGACACGACTCGACTCTGCCATGTCAAGTACTAATTTTTGCATGTTGATTTAAATTAACATAAATAAATGCACATTGTTGATGCTTATATACACATATACAATACACACACACACACATATATATATATATACATCTGCTGGACATATGCATATTTAGGGCACAGTTTCGTGAGGCCTTTAAATGATCTGCATAATTTGAATTGTCAACAAGTTATTATGAAATGCCCAGCCCCTGTCCCAGCCCCAGCTCGGCCACACTGCCACGCCCACAGCTGACAACTGAATCGCAACGATGCGAAATTGATTTGATTTGAAGTGCGGCGAAACATTGCGTGCGAATTGCAAATTTGTTGGCAAAACTCGGTGGAAAGAATTCAAACGGAATATTCGCTGAATATGCGAATGAATGGGTGCAATAAATATTACCAGAACTTTGCACTCTGGCACACTATTAGAAGGTTTTTGCTTTCAATTTATAAGTAAATATATATATTTTGGTTTTAGTATATTATATATTATTGTATATATTTTTGTTGAAAATAAATATTGGAAAATTCGCTTTGATGAGCACAAAAATATATATTTAGTTTATTATATATATACATTTTTTAAGCATATGTCGTATATAGCGATACGTTATAAAACACTAATTACAGAAAGTCATGTATGCCTGTGTTATTTCGGTGTGATATTATGACATTGTATTAGTTACTAGGCCGTGAGTTGGCATTTTAATGACAATTAATGGATGTATTTCCACTAAAAGGGAGAAAGAGAGAGAATGAGAGAGAAAGAGAGAGAGAGAGAGAGAGCGAGAGAGAGAAAGAGAGAGATAGAGATAGAGTAAGGGAGAGAGATAGAGACAACTATAGCTGTATGAGCAAAGGGCTGCACTGATTTCGATAATCAAAGCGAATGTAACTAGAAATGTAGAGCTTGACAGAACCAGTCAGAAAAGGGACTATAAATTAGTTTATATACTACTGAATAGAACTAAGCGCTCTCTTGTTCAAATATGAACTGAACATTAGATATACATATGTAGGTTGTGTTCTACCCTGGAATGTCAGACTCTAGAGTACAGCTCCCTTAGGTGGGGCTAATTCGTATGCCCATATTTATAGACTCTTACAACTGCGTTGCACAGCATGCTTAATGTGCTGCTTTACTTCTGCAATTTACTTGCTATCACACTCCCTCTCACACACACACTATCTCTGTCTCTCTCTCTATCTCTCTTGCTCTCTGTGTGATCCAATTCTAGCAGCTTCTTCCATACCTCTCGCAAGCAACAACAACACACACACACGCATTGCATTTTGGGAAGAGGCTCACATGCCATCTCGTTCTCTCCTAAGGTAGTGTCGGAAGTAGTGTTGGAAGTAAAATAGTATTAGAAGTATTTCTTAAGTTGATTCAAATTGACACGCCGTGAGAAATACTTTTAATACTATTTTACTTCCAACACTACTTCCAACACTACCTCCGACACTACCACCAACACTACTCCCAACACTACTTCTAACACTACTTTCAACACTACTTCCAACACTACTTCTAACACTACTTTCAACACTAATTCCAACTTTACTTCAAACACTACTCCCAACACTACTTCTAACACTACTTTCAACACTACTTCCAACACTACTTCTAACACTACTTTCAACACTAATTCCAACTTTACTTCAAACACTACTTCCAACACTACTTCCAACACTACCTCCAAATCTACTTCCAACACTACTTTCAACACTAATTCCAACTTTACTTCCAACACTACTTCCAACACTTCCAGCACTACTTCGAACATATAATATGTACTGAATATGTATATTATATTTCTATTATATTCATCAGATATCATGACCTGATCCTAGCCATACTCCCTGCAGAAAATCTGACACAGCTAAAGCTAAAGAAGATTTCAAAATTCATAAGGCCGAGACAAACTCAATTTGCATGCTCCTCCACACATGTAGAGCTTTAATTATCTTATACAAATTGTAATTAGTAGCGCCCGTGGGGGAGAGGGCGGGCATACATGCTCATAGTGCAGCATCAGCTGGAATGCTTTCTAGTAGTGCCTGAAATACTTATATAATTAGCAGGCAACAATTACAAATTGTATTTCGCGAGTTTTGTGCTCGCAATTTAATTGCGAAATTGTTCGCCAATTTTTGAGGCTGGCCTGGTTGCCAATGGAATGGGCGTGGCAGCAGGTGGGTAGGCAGCGAACGGCGAACGGACTGTGGTGTGTGTGTGTGTGGCGAGTGGGGTGTGGGGTGTGGGGTGTACGGGCGACTGCCGGCGGTTGCAAGGGAGGTGTCGGCGCTCGAACGACAAAATGAGATTTTAACCGCAAACAGCAGCAAACAATTTCTGCTTTGGCCCGTGACGCTCCATGCTCTGGCAATAAAATAACAATCAACGCAAGCCGCGGCCGTAACGCGGTAAAGGCGTACTGAGGCGCCGGGCGTGGCCATGGAGCAGACAAAGTTTGAAGAGCTGCCTGCCGAGGCGGTCTGTGGGGGCCCTACTCGACCGACCCAAAAGAACCACCCCAAAACCCACCCAAGCGACAACAATGTCGAGCCAAAAGACCCCACCCATAGCCGAGGCGAACGCACTTTATTTTGACCCAGCAGCGAAAAAGGCAGCGGCACCCCAGACCCTAACAAATTCTGCCCCACACCCCCACACCCCCACGCCCCTGGCGTTGTTACAGAATTTGTGATTTTCATTGCAAAAGTTGTTTCAGTTCTTTCGGCTGTTGTTTTCACAAATTAATGAAATAATTTCAATCTCTTAATTGAAGTTAATTGTCCCTGGCTGGCTTAAAGTTTCAGATACTAGTATGGAAAGATACGATAATATGTGAGAAATAGGTTATGTTACCCACTGAAAGCAAGTGGGATGAGAGAGTAGAAAGGAAACATACTGATAAGATAATTGGCTCGATTTGTGGTCAGGACTTTACCTCTTCAAGATCTGACTATAGACTAAGCACGAACCTACCCAGTACATATCTGAAATTTCCAGTTTCCATGAGTATATATAGATCATCAGTATATATAGATCGGATGGGCTCGGCAATGTTCCTTGCATAAATTTCGAGAAAAACTCTTCATTGATTCAAACGAATCAGTTTAATGCTCAACCAAAACCATTAACATTGTATATTTCCATAGAACATTTAACAAAGTTGAGTTTGGCAATTTGCGTTTCTTGCACAAAAGTCAATCAAAAGTCATAAATTTATAACACGAACAGATTTGATGATGCTGCCCTCTTCCAGCAGTGATTTATCTGAAAATTCTTCAGAATTCGTTTAAAACATAAATGTTTTTCTTTGTTTTTTTCTCTTTTTTGAATTGCCTGAAAGTTATTCAAGTGTTTTTTTGTTGTTGTTGTTGATTCTTGTTTCCGTTTCCGTTGCACATTGAAATTTTAATTTAAACTTGAAATTTGAGGTCCACCAAGGAGCTTAATTATTGGGTGATGATATTTGGCTGAGAAAAATGAAAGAATATATAAGCAAATTTTGAAAAATATTTTGAAAAATAATTTGAAAAATTGTTAAAATATAAAAAATATTAAAAATGGCAAATAACCTAGAAAACTTCAGCTGAATAATGGTATGTATGTCTGTATATCATATATATCATATACACCATATATCTCATATGTATCATATATCTCATATATATCATATATCTCATATATATTAAATATCTCATATATATCATATAAGTAAAGACTATCGACAATATAAGGAGGCTGGAGAGTCCAGTCAGCCATTCAAGGGGAGAACCCAATCAGTAGAACTGATTCGGGCCAGTTTATATTCGGACTAGAGAGAGTTTAGATCTGTTGTTAATTATATAAAATATATTATTTTATTGAACACTAAGTTGTTTGTATTCACAAGAACCCACCCCAGCGTCCCCAATCACTAGTGCTCTAGTGTGGGAGAGCTTAATTTACATATAATATATATCATATATACCATATATATCATATATACCATATATCTCATATAACAGTCTATTATCTGGAGCTCTAGTATTGACGAAGATATCTATTCAACTCACTTGTTCTCCTGTAGAGGCTGTCCTATGGCCACGGCCCCATTCTGGGACACTTTTACGGGCGACACCATTATGCGACGCGTAGAGCGACGCAGCGGATTTTTGCCAGTGGCGGTGTCAGAGTCAACTGTGTTCTCATTGTTGATATCATTGTCATTGTCATTGTCATTGTCATTGTCATTGTCATTGTCATTGTCATTGCTAGTGTTGATTTGACTATCGTTATGCTCGGAATTGGATTCGTGTCCTTTGGGTGTCGAGGTGTGGGCCGAGGGTGGGACCTCGTCCAGCTGATGGTCGGCATCCCGGGTAGCTGACGAGGCCAGCGATTTGTTTTGAGCGCGACGACGGCGTGAGCTGGTGTGCTCCTTGATCATCGGCTTGATGGCGATCTTGTTGGGATCGAAGTAGCTGTCCAAGAGAGCCACCAGCTCGGTCTTCTCGCCGTCGGTCAGTCGGCCGACGGGCTGCAGCGTGCTGATGAGTCCCTGAATGCGCGAGTCCTTCCAGACGTCGCTCAAAGTGCTCAAATCGAGTCCGCCTTCAGCGAGCGCAATGCGAAACTTGACGGCACGCATACGCTGCACCGTGGTCTTGAAGTAGTTCACGAACAACGGACGAAACGAGTTCTGACGCTTCAGTGCGGTATATCCTTGGTCCAGTTCCAAGATCAGTGTGTCGATCGTCTCCAGATAGGGCTTCATTGCAGTAAACAGATGACAGATGCTCGGCTCACGGGCGCACAGCTCGGTGGCCACATTGAACACCAGCTTGGCGCGAATACTGGCGCTGCCAGTGAACTCCTTGGTGTAAATCTCCTCGCCCCTCTCCCTGGCCAGTACGGCCAACAGGCTGCGCACGCTCAAGTATGGGCGATCGCTGCCCCCGACCGTTGCCTTGGCTATCTCATTGGTATTGACAAAGCCGATGACCATCTTATCGAACTCTTTCAACAAATTGAACTTGATGACCGACTGCAGTATCATCAGTGGTATGAACTTGCGCTCCTCGTGGTACACAATCACAATGCCCGATGTGGGCTCGCTCTGCTCCTGCAGCCATTCGATAAACTTGCGGAAGCCCGTTTGCTCCGACTCCGTTTTGATGATCTATTCAAATAGTTAGCAAATGTGAATTGTTGGCAAAATGGAAAAATCCAATTGAATGTCACCTTATTGGTCAGCATTGCCTTGAGCACACGGCGGCCCTTGAGACGAGTCACACGCACCTGGTGGCGCAGACGCGCAGCCGAGTTCAGATTTATGGGCGGCAACATGTACTGCTCGTAGCGCCCGAATGGCGAGAATACGGCCAACTGGAATATCTGCAAAATTCACAAACACAAAATTGCGTCACGCACAGAGCTCCGAGTTCCCCCCGGACTGCTCACCTTGTCGCAAAGACGGCGTCCAGTCGTGTCCAAGTCGACGGCCATAAACTTCAAACTCAGGCCTCCCTTGCTCTTACTCTGTCCATCAACCATAGCGACGTGTTCTTCCATGATATTTGGCATCCTTTTTTACTGTTTTTTTTCGCGAAATAAAATGTACTTTTCAATTTTTTTTAGTTTTTTTTTTTCACAAATTTTTTTAAATTTGTATGTAATTTTTCGGTATTTTATTCAATTTTCTCCGCACAAGCGCTTCGTAAGACTTTCACAATCGAAGTGATTCGGTGATTTATTGCTGCCTTCAAAGGAGCAAAGAGTGAGCCTAAAAGCAAGGCCTACATAGATTTCAAACTGTCGAGCTTACTATTGGATTTCTTCACGCAATAGTGTTGAGAAAAACGAATTCATTTAGTATTGTAGGGACAATCGAAGAGCGAATATTGTCACTAAGAGGGAGACAACTATAGCTGTTGCTGAACGTGGCCCCGGGTGTCGCTGAGTGAGAGCGAGACGGCTAGCTATGTCCTTCGCACAGGGTCGCTAGGATTTCGATGAACAGGAATATGTGACCAGAGGTAGACGGTTTGACAAGAGAGGGGAGAAATGGCACTTGATCAAAGACTATTGCACAAGAAAAAGCTTTGTGAAAGAATTATGCTCGCTACTAGGCACAAATCTAAGGGAAGGCAGAGATAAGAAACGTAACGCCACGGCATATAGTACAATTTGTAAATAGTATAACAGTATAACAAGTGGTATAAGATTATTTTTATTGAATATTGCTTACAGATATAGCCAATGAACATAAGACATACTTTGTATGCCAGTTGCACATTTACCTTGTATAACAGTATAACAAATTTATATAGTATAATTTATTTTAAGCAATCAGTATCATGAGAGTTTTCTTATAGAATAGCTGAATAATTGTTTAGTATATCACTTATGCTAGTATAACAGTTATTTTGTAGACCTAAACAAAAGTGTCAAATATTGTATATGGTACAGATGTGAATGGTATAACAAATCTATATGAAATTATCATCTATATGAAAGCGTGTATTACATTTACTTAGTATGTATAACAGTATGTATAACAGTATGTATAACAGTGTGTATAACAGTGTGTATAACAGTTTACCCACATACATAATTAACTTGAGAATTTCTTTATATTGCCGCTGTATATTTATTAAGTATACCTGTTTTCTGGTATAACAGTTGTATAACAATCAAATTTAAGCCAAATGCAGGCCCTTATTTATTGCAGTTGTATATTTACTTAGTATAACAGTTTAGCTCTACTTGAGATATGTAGATTTTTAACTTGTTTGTCCATTTCTTTTGCTGATATTTATTTGTGCCATTTGTGTTATGGCTAATAAAATTGGTTTTAATTAGCTGCGCGGCCAACTGCTTGGAGTGAATCGGTAATTGAGCCATAAATTCAAATATTTATTGCATTGGCCAATTCAACAAATTGTGTTTCGGTTTCAGCGGTCGCCTTGCGGTGGCGCAAGTGTTAAATGGCGCTCTCAGCCAACCCACCAGCTCCCCATCTCTCTCTCTCTCTCTCTCGATCTGCCCCGTCTCACACCCGCTCGCTGCTCCTCGCTGGCGACTGTTGTCTGTGCCTTGGCTCTGACAGTTTTCAATTAAGTTCGGCTCTGGTCCGAGAGTGTGCAACACATGTTTGCACTCAGCTGCGCACTAGACGCCCAACTATCGTCGTAAGGGACGCGCCCCACTGTACATAATAATCGGATGACTTTGGCAGAAGTTAAGGCAATGTGCACTCAGCACTTACGCACTCACAAGCGTATGTAAAATACATATATGTATATGTAAGTATGTGTATATGCATATATACATGTATGTATATACTTTCACGCATCACAGTGAATAATTCAGCAGCTCGCTGCCAAGGCCCATCATCAAGTGCTCCACACGAAAATGAGTTACTTTACATAACTAAGTAATTGGCGTACCTCGGTGAGAGCGCGGCTCGAACGCGAAATTATTATAAACAAACCATTTGGCAGTCATAAAAATATGCGTGGAGAGACAGAGAGTGACAGAGAGAGAGAGAGAGACAGAGTGAAACGAGATGAGGCATAAAAAGCGGCTGGAAATTTCTTCATTATGCTGAGTCGAGGCCGCAAAAATCGTCCGAAGTGCCAATTGGAGCTGCAAAAAATGTATAAAATATGAAAAATATTTAAATGCAATAAAGCAGCAGCAGAGAGGCGAGACAACGGACAGCGGACAGCAGGAGAGCCAGAGGCTGAACGAACATGATACACCACTATATGGACCCTTCGCCTCCCTCGACAATAGAACATTAAATTGTTTTCTCTTTTTTTATGCTCATGCATAAAAGTAAAATGAGTACATTGGTTTTGTGCAGTGCACGCCTCTACGTCCGTACATCTGTCCGTATAAACTTAAGACCTAGGAATTAGAGACTTGATGTTTGGAATAAATAATCTAATAAATATATAAAGTGTTAAGCGATTCGCCCTCTCTTTATATTGATTTGCTTAAGAATTATTTATATACATAACTATTGGGGGCGTGGCGTATCGGAGCATAGGTCTAACAGCGCCATGAACGCGTATTCTGCAGTCGGATACGCTCAACGGCAAAGCTCTTGCTTGTTTCATGAAAAAATGTTTACAACATCGTAACAGATGTCGCGCAGCAACAATACATTTATTTATTTTTTTTCTTAAATTAATTATTAAATACTTGCAACTCATTTTATTTATAAAAAAGTATATTTTTTTATCACATTTATGAATCAAGCGTGTTGGCAAAATTAATATTGAAATATGAAACATAATTATTTGTGAATAAATATATTGTAATGTGCTTAAAATGTGTAAAGTTTATTATTAAACAGAGAATTATGAGGGGAAGAATTGTGGCTGCATCCCTGAACATTATGTATGTCACAGGTAGGCGAAGGCGTGGCCCATCCCGGGGGGCATATGCACTGGGGATCTGCTGCAACAGCCAAGTCGATGAACGCCTGGATCTAGGAATCAATGAGAGATGATGAGATGTTCACTCACATCAATTTTTTTTTTTCACTAGTCAATAACATTCGATTAATATATAGCGCCAGCAAAGTCTTACAATTTGTTTAATGGATAATCTTAAAAATGATGTGCAAGTAAATTCCACTTTGGGAATATCCCTATTGGAATAAAAATATAAATAAAATAATACGAATAGAGGCACATCTGGCAACTCTATATTTTGTGTAAGAGGCGAGTATAGGCTCATTTTAGAGTTGTAAATAAAAATAAAGCTTGGCTACGACAAAGGTTGCCACCTTGCAGGGCTGCCAGGTGGATCTGTCGAATATGGACAACCCTGTATATATCATGAATCTCTATTTAGTTGCCTTTAAAGTAATTTCCAGCAGTTAAAATGCATGAATACAATTTTTCTTTGAGCTTCTTCAGTTCCTGCTGTGATAACGTCTTCAATTGATAACCTCTTGCAGGTCCAAGAACAAGAAAAGCTCACTGGAGGCGCAGTCTAATAGATATTTTATCGGCAGCTTCAGTAACGTGTTGCCGCTATTTGATATTTGGAATAGGTGAATAGGAGGTGACAAAATTGTCTGGCAGTGAGCTATAAATGCCTGAGGCAACAGCTCGGCAAGGCAGTTAGGGTATATACTAGTCGGTCGCGCTGTTTGCTATGCCCTCGTCCTCAAAGGGAATTCCTCAACATTTTCGGATATGACTTTACATCAATTTGGTTTCTTTTCGTGTGCAGCTGCTTTGCCCTTGGCTTTGGCTCAAGTTCAGTTTCAAGTTCAAATTGAATTCTCAAGTTTAGTTGCGAGCCGCGGCGTACTTGCTTAAGGAATATTTTAAATAACTCAAATAATTTACAGGCTTTTCCAGCTCCCCCCCCCACGCTATCTCTCTCTCTCCCTCTCTCTGTCACTGGCTGGAATGTGTCCTGACAAAAGGCGAGCTGAGATTATTGTAACGTTTCATTACGGCGTGCAGCTCGTAATAGAAGTCTTAACTGCGTGTACTTATTATTCTAGTTATGCCTGGCCTTTTAACAGCACAATTCATAATGAAAGACACTCGAGCAGTGGCTGCAAAAGGAAATGTGGCTTAGGGCCGTGCCAAGAGATTAGGCCCCCTCCATCCCCCCAGGCAGACATAATCTGCGCTCTGGTTTTTTGTTGTTGTTGTTTTCGATTTGTAAAGCGTAGCTTGGTGCCAGCGCCAGTCGCATTCGACAGCCAATCCTGGCGCCCTACAATTGCTCATAGTCCTCGACTGGACACAATGAGACAGGCAGCCAGCGCAGCGGAGCAGAGGTCAGCTGGCTGGCTAAGCTGCTGCAGCATGTCAACTGGTTGGGCTTCTGGCAATGCGACTGCTGCCAGTGCTTTCACCTGCTTACCTGCTTACCTGCTCACCTGCTTAGCTGCCCACCTGGCCGCGCTGTCCCCGCAATTGAAATGCACTTCAAGTGAATGACGGCGTTTAATTTGCTGGCGATTGCGGCTTACGTTGCGCATTAACTCAAATTGAATGCCATGCATTTTTGATTAAGTTGAAAAACGCTTTGAAATTGCCTTTTCTCAGTGCTCTCTCTCTCCCACTCCCACTCTCTTTGTCTCTCTTTCTAAGCAGCCACACAATTGTGTATCTGCCGTCAGTCGTACACAATGCCACAAATCCCCAATGTGGCCCCGCCCCCTGCCCATTCGCTCACATAATTGTCGCAACATTTCTTGCTTCAAATTCTATTTTCTTATTCAATGAAAATCGATTGTACAAATATTTCGCTCATCACAAACTTCAAACAATTTTTCGGCACTAAAAAAGACACTCAGAGGGACAGAAAGAGAGAGTGAGTGAGAGAGAGAGTGAGAGAGGGAGACAGTCATGGGTAACACATTTGGCCACATTTCAGTTTGTTTCATTGTCGTTGCTCTTGTTGTTGACCTTGAATCGGAATTTACAGATTTTTGCGGCACCTCAATTAGTCCCGAAATTTGTGTTCATTCCCTTTTGTGTGCTTCTGCCTAATGGAGTCACTATTTGAAAGCAAAAGCTTTGTCCAATAATTGCCTATAATTAAAA